CTTACATGATGTGATATCTCAATGTGGTTTTAGTTTGCATTTCTCTGATGCTGAAGATTTTTTTTGTGTGCCAGTTGGCCCTATGTATATTTTCTTTGAGAAAATATACAGATCCCCATCCCCATCCCCATTTTTAAATCAGGTTGTTTGGTTTTTTTGTTTTTTTTTGTTGCTGTGTTATATGACTTCTGTATATATTTTTAATATTAACCCCTACTAGATGTATGGTTTGCAAATATGTTTTCCCATTCAATAGGTTGTGTTTTCCTTTTACTGATGGTTTCCTTTGCTGTGCAGAAGCTTTTTAGTTTGATGTGGTACCATTTGTTTATTTTGGCTTTTGTTTCCCTTGCTGTTGTTATAACTCAGTGCCATTGACCTAAACTCCCAGAGGCCTTCACAACAACCAAAGGGGTTGTCAGTTTACTCATTTACTGAAGAACATTCTTCACTAACTAATCCCTAAGTAATCGCTAACCCTGGGGTAATAACTAACCCTTGAGTAATCCTGGGCGGCACCAGGGATAATCTATTGAAAACATCTTGACCTTTGAGATGTCTGGGAAACTGAGTAACAGGTAATTAACTAACTGCTAAATTCCGCTTCTGTAACATGCTTGCTTACACGTAGCACCCCCCTTACAAAATCCTATAAAAAGGAGCCATTTTAGCTCTCCGGGGCCGCAGTTACTCCTGTGTGGGACATACTGCAGGTGCCTGCGGACTTAGCTCAATAAACTCCTTTTATTAAACCCCATCTCGGCGTCTGAGTTTGGTCGATCTCCTGGGTTACAACACTGTCAGAGTCTAATCCACAAAAACATCACTAAGACAGATGTCAAGCAGCTTACTACGTATGTTTTCTTCTATGTATTTTATAGTTTCAGGTCTTATGTTCACGTCTTTAATCCATTTTGAGTTAATTTTGTGTATAGTGTAAGAGAGAGGTCTATTTCATTGTTTTGTATGTGGCTGTCCAGTTTTTCCAGCACCATTTATTGAAGAGACTTTCCATTCTCCATTGTGTGTTCTTGGCTCCTTTGTTGTAAATTCGTCTTTCAATGAGAGAGGCCAGTTTGCTTCCAGGAGCTTCAACCTGAGGGGCAGGCTCTGGCTTGGCACACAACCAGGGGCCCATGGAGGGGCTCTTGGGGTAGATAGGCTGGTGGACACCATCTCCGTGCCCTCCCTCTGCCTTTCTCCAGCTCACCGGTATCTCCCAGAGAGGAGCTCATACCCTCCTCTGGCGCCCCAGCTGCTGCCAGGGAACACCTCCACATCGCCGGGCTCTGGTGGCCCAGGGGCTTACGCCTGTGGGTCCCACAGGACTTTAACCACAGAGGAAAAGTTCTTAAACTGCTACCACCACCAAGTCACAGCAAGAGGTAACAGACCCAGAGCTCTCTCTGTGAAAGTGCCCTATTAGCTTCTCATCATAACTGCCGAGGGACAGGCTTCGAATTAAAGACACATGTATGGGCTGGCTGGGACCCTCGGAGGCAGGCACTAGCTCTCTTCTCTCCCCTGGCTGTGCCCTAGGGTGCCAGGATCACCCGAGGAGAGCTTTTACACGGGTCTGGTGCCCTGGTGTTTGTGGCTGCTGCCCAGGGGACTCCCCTTGATCACCTGGCTCTGGTGCCAAGGGGAGCTTATGTTCTCGGGTCCCATAGGAGGATAACAACTGGAGAGAGAGTTCTTGACAGGCTCCCGGCCAGGGCACTGCACAGATAGCAGAATGAAACACACCCATCTTCCCGTGAAAGGGCCTATTTGCTTGTCTTGGAGTGGCAGGCTCTGGTTTGGTACACAACCAGCGGCCAGCAGAAGTGCTCTCAGGAAAGACAGACCGGTGGATGCCATCTCCGCACCTTCCCTCTGCCTTATACAGCTTACTGGTACCTCCCACAGACGAACTCATCCAGTCGTCTAGAGTCTCAGTTTTTGTGACTGCCACCCAGGGGACACCTTCAGATCAGCTGGCTTTGGTGACCAGCAGGGCTGACCCTTGCAGTCTCACAGGAATGCATATACTTGCTTACTTTAAAAGCTGCTGCCCAGGCCGGCCAGTGTGGCTCGGTGGTTGAGCGTCGACCCATGCACCAAAAGGTCACTGGTTCGATTCCTGGTCAGGGCACATGCCCAGGTTGTGGGCCAAATCCCCAGGGGATGGCATGCAGGAGGTGGCCAGTTAGTGTTCTCCCTCATTGGTGTTTCTGTGTCTCTCTCCCTCTCCCTTCCTCTCTATTTAAAATCAATACAGAAAAATGTTTTTTTAATAAAATAAAAGCTGCTGCCTGAATGTAGGTGCTAATTGGGATGTCCCACCTTGGCACACTGGCAGGTCTTGTCACGATGGTAGCTACAGGGAGCTATTGAAAACAGCAGCCAGCTTGGACAATCATAACAGTTTGAAAGACAACCAAGACTAGGACAGCATTGAATAAAAGGTTCATCTCCTTCATAAGGCCACTCATAAGGTGGCTGATTTTTGTTTTTATTTAATTTTTATTCATTGATTTTAAAGAGAGAGGAAAAGGGGGGAGAGTGAAAGAGAGGGAAACATCAATTTGTTGTTCCACTTATTTATGCATTTATTGGTTGATTCTTGTATGTGCTCTGACCAGGGATTGAACCCGCAACCTTAGCATATTGCGATGATGCCCTTACCAACTGAGCTACCCGGCCAAGGCTAAGAGGTAGTGGCTGTTTTATCTAATGAATAAAAACCATCACAGAGTGTGTTCCAGGTCAAAAGAAAATGAAGAAACAAAGGAATATGTTTCAAATGAAAGAACAAGATAAAACCGCAGGAAAAAACCTTAATGAAACAGAGACAAGTAATTTACCTGATAAAAAGTTCAAAGTAATGGTCAACAAGATGGTCACCAAACTCAGGAAAAGAACAGATGAACACAGTGAGAACTAGTTCAACAAGGAGATAGAAAATATCAGACAGCATCAAGGAGAAGTCACAGAGGTGAAGAATACAAAACTGAACTGAAAAATATACTAGAAGCATCCTGGCTGGTTTGGCTCAGCAGGTAGAGCGTTGACCCACAGACCAAGGAATCATGGGTTTGAGTCCAGTCAAGGGCACGTACCCCTGTTGTGGTTTGGTCCCCAACCCTGGTCAGGGTTGTGTGGGAGGTAACCAATTCATGTGTCTCTCTCACATCAATGTTTCTCTCTCTCTCTCTCTCTCTCTCTCTCTTCTCCCTCCCACTCTATTTGAAGATAAATAGAAAAATATCCTTGTGTAAGGATTATTATTGTTTTTTTTATCCTTACCCGAGGACATTTTTCCATTTTTTGTTCAGAGAGAGTAGGAGGGAGAGAGAGAGAGAGAAACATCAACATAAAAGGACACATTGAGTGGTTGCCACCCACATGACCCAACCAGGGCCGGAGACAAACTGCAACCGAGGTACGTGCCCTTAGCGGGAACCGAATCTGGGTCTCTCTGGACCACAGGCCGACGCTCCAACCGCTGAGCCAAACTGGCCAGGGCAGGATTATTTTTTAAAAGAAAAATGATAAATATACTAAAAGGCTTCAGTGGAGTAGATGAAATGAAAAAAAAATAATCAGTGAACTCAAAGACGGCAATGGAACTCACCCAATCAGAACAGCGAAGAAGAAGAAGAATTTTAAAAGAATGACAATAGCTTAAGGGACTTAGGGAACATCATCAAGTGGACTAACATTTGCATTACAGGGAGCCAAGAAGGGAAAGAGAGAAAGGGGCAGAAAATTTAAATAGAGAAATAATGGCTGAAAACTTTCCTAACTTGAGAAAGGAAATAGACATTTATAAATATATATATTTATAATAAGAGACCAAAAGCCTAGAAGGTTCCAAAAAAGATGAACCCAAAGAGATCCATATTATAATTAAATTATAATATTATAATAATATTATATTTTATAGTACTTTAATAATATAACATGCCAAGACATATTATAATTAAAAAGTCAAAAATTAAAGACAAGGAGAGAATCTTAAAAGCAGCAAGAGAAGCCGTGGCCGGTTTGCTCAGCGGTTAGAGTATTGGCCCATGGACCAATGAGTCGCGGGTTTGAATCTGGTTAAGGGCATGTACCTCAGTTGCGATTTGTTCCCGGCCCTGGTTGGGGTCATGCAGGAGGCAACAGGTAGATGTGTCCCTTTCGTGTCGATGTTTCTCTCTCTCTCTCTTCCTCTTTCTCCCTCCCATTCTATCCGAACAAAAGTGGGAAAATGTCCTTGGGTGAGGATTAAAAAAAAAAGCAGCAAGAGGAAAACAACTTGTCACTATAAAGGAACCCCCTCTGCCTAAAACTATCAACAGATTTTTTTTTTAGCAGAAACTTTGCAGTCTAGAAGGGAATAACACAATATATTCTACCCATACTGGGGGTTCTAGCCAGTGTAGTTGGACAAGGAAAAAAAATAAGAGATGTAATAATTGGAAAGAAGAACACTGACATTTGCCAAAAAATTTAAAAATGTAAAAAAAATTGACAATTTTAAGTATACTTTTAAAAACAACATTAAGGAGAAACAAAGCTTTTATATGTTAATATAGGTGAATGTCCTCATGATCTTTGGGGGGGTAAGTTGTGCTCTATGCCTGCATCATTGAATCTACTCCTCACAACAAACCTATAAAGTGAGACACAGTGCTCCTCTTCTGTAGATGAGAAACTGGCGTAAGAGTCCCAGATCATGTAACTAGTAAGTGGCAGAGTCAGGATCTAAACTAAGACCTATTTTATTTTTACAAAGTCTACGTGGTCTTACTCTCTTTCATTCCGTGTGTGTGTGTGTGTGTGTGTGTGTGTGTGTGTGTGTGTGTGTGTATGTTCCAGGTCAAAGAACGGAGTCTCCAGGCTCTATATTTTGTATTAAAAAGGAACAGACAGGAGAAGTCAGGGAGAGATAGGAGTAGGCACTTAAGCAGATAATTCTACAGTTTCCTTTAAATGTGTGTTATTTTAAATAGTTGTAGTATTTTACTCACCACCACTGCACAGAGGTTATATTTAGGATGTTTCCGGAAAACTGGACAAATGTAAGGAGTTAGGTCCAAGTTAGTGAGTGGGTAATGAATATCCGTTCTCAGTTTTCTTTTCATTGTCCCCAGAATGTCAAACCTGGAGAGATAAGACATGTGTGAAATATAGTGAGTTGGTGAACCACTCATGAATGAAGTCCACATACTCGATCAGCTCTAAGCACAGTTTCAAGTAATTTCTTGGAAAGATCACTTGGTGCAGACCTCTACACAAAGATTGTTTCTTATCTACATGTATTTAGAACCTCCACGTCCACAGGCCTTGCCTAACCTGAGACGGGAGAGGGCCAGCAGCTAGAGCCAGGATGTGAGACAGCAGAGTGAATCCAGTGGGAGGGGAAGCCGGGATAAGCCAGGCGCCCTGGGGAGCAGAATCACACCGACAACCTCCCAGGCTTCAGGGCGGCTGCTGCCCTGCACTGGGACCGCGGCTCAGCTCTCCTCGACCTGATTTCAGCACACCATGTCTTGCCGCTGCCCTGCTTTCCAGCGAGGTTTGAGCATATCTTTGATAAGATAAAATTCTGTGAAACTCTTGTCACCTTCTCTATTTGCTCTACAGACCAGCAGGTCCCAAAGCTGAGCACATATCAGAATCACCTCAGAGCTTCTTAAAAAATAAGTTAGGCCCTGGCCAGTTTGGCTCAGCGGTTAGAGCGTCGGCCTCCGGTCCGGAGAGACCCGGGTTCGGTTCCCGCTAAGGGCACGTACTTCGGTTGCAGTTTGTCCCCGGCCCTGGTTGGTCGTGCGGGTGGCAGCCACTCGATGTGTCCCTTCACGTCGATGTTTCTCTCTCTCTCTCCCTTCCCCTCTCTCCCTCCCACTCTATCTGTACAAAAAATGGAAAAATATCCTCGGGTGAGGATTAAAAACAAAACAAACAAAAAATAAGTTAGGCCCTGGCTGGTTTGGTTCAGCGGTTAGAGCGTCGGCCTGCGGTCTGGAGAGACCCAGGTTCGGTTCCCGCTAAAGGCACGTACCTCGATTGCAGTTTGTCCCTGGCCCTGGTTGGTCGTGCAGGTGGCAGCCACTCGATGTGTCCCTTTCACGTCAATGTTTCTCTCTCTCTCTCTCTCTCTCTCTCTCTTTCTCTCTCTCTCTCTCTTCCTCCAACTTTATCTGAACAAAAAATGGAAAAATGTCCTTGGGTGAGGAAACAAACAAACAAACAAAAATAAGTTAGGTTCATTTTGAAAAAATGGCCAATTTAATTCTGGGGCAGGGAAATTGCTGGATGAGCCTGAGATAGTCTTGTGGCAGAAAGCAAGACGCCTTGTTTGCAAAAAGCGAAGGGACTACCATATGACCCAGCAGTCCTATGCCTAGTCATCTGAAAAGAAATGAAAACATATCCACAGAAAAATCCATTTGCTTATGTTATAACAGTATTCACTTCTGCCTTAAATTGGAAACAACTCAGATGTTCATCAACTGGCGAATAGACGAATAATGCGGTACATTCATACAAGTGAATACTACACGGCAATACACAGGAAGGGACCACTGCGACACGCCACACCATGAATTAATCTCAGAAACATTACGCTAAGTAAAAGAAGTCAAACTCAAGAGGCTACACAAGGTATAACATAGGGCATTCTGGTAAAGGCAGAACTATAAGGACGGAAATCAAATCAGAAGTTTCCAGAGGCTGAGTGTGGGAGAAGGGATTGATTATAAAGGAGCATGAGAAACTTTTTTTTTTCTTTTTATCCTCACCCGAGGACATTTTTTCCATTTTTTGTTCAGGTAGAGTGGGAGGGAGAGAGAGGAACAGAGAGAGACAGAGAAACATCGACGTGAAAGGGACACATCGAGTGGCTGCCACCCTTACAACCAACCAGGGCCGGGGACAAACTGCAACCGAGGTACGTGCCCTTAGTGGGAACCGAACCCGGGTCTCTCTGGACCGCAGGCCGACGCTCTAACCATTGAGCCAAACCGGCCAGGGCGAAACTTTTTGGGGTGATGGAAATAGTCTCTACTTTGGCTGTGATGGTTACATGACTATGTGCATTTTATTATTATTTTTAATCCTTACCCGAGGAAATTTTTTCCATTTATCTTCAGATAGAGTAGAGGGGGGAGGGGGGGGAGAGAGAGAGAGAGAGACAGAGAGAGAGAGAGAGAAACATTGACGTGAGAGGGACACATTGAATGGTTGCTTGACCAGGGCCGGGGACAGAACCGCAACCGAGGCACATGCCCTTGACTGGAACCAAACGCATAACTCTTTGGTTCATGGGCCAAGGCTCTAACCACTGAGCAAAACCGGCCAGGGCAACTATATGTATTTTAAAAAATTCATAGAACTGTGCATCTACAAAAGGTGACTTTTGTACATGTAATTATACTTTGTCAAATCTAAACGAACTAACTAATGCCATGACAGGAGCTTGAAGTGGCTCTCACTGGCCAATTGTAAACAATTTGAACATCAAGAAGAATGATGATAGCGCCCTGGCCGGTTTGGCTTAGCGGTTAGAGCATTGGCCCTTGGACCAAAGGGTCGAGGGTTTGATTCTGGTCAAGGGTACGTACCTGGGTTGCGAGTTCAATCCCCGGCCGCTGGTCAGGGTTGTACACGAGGCAACCAATCAATGAGTCTCTCTCACATTGATATTTCTCTCTCTCTCTCTCTCTGTCTCTCCTCCTCCTCCTCCTCCTCCCTCCCAAATCAATGGAAAAATATCCTCAGGTGAGGATTAACAACAACAAAAAGAGTGATGATAGTAATGGATATGAAACGCATTAGGTTTGAGTATCCATAGGTCCAGAGTGACGCTCATTGTAGAGGGGAAACCACGCCTTTGAAGGGTGAGGTCCTGAAGTCATCACCTTACCTAAGTGGTCAAACTTAACATCATCAACAGTGGGATACACTTCTGGGAGGTGCCTCCTGAGGTAATGTGACAAGTACACACTGTCTATGCCAGATTCTTCAAAAAAAAGTTTAGCCTGAATCTAAACAAGGGACTCCTCAAAGGCTCAATATGAGAAAAATGGTTAACTATATAAAAAGAGGGAAAGATTGTTCTAGATTTAAAGAGACAACCAGCCCGGCCTGTGTGGCTCATTGGTGAGTGTTGATCCATGCACCAAGAGGTCGCCGGTTTAATTCCCAGTCAGGACACATGCCCAGGTTGTGGGCCAAATCCTCAGTGGGGGGCATGCAGGAGGTGGCCAGTCGATGTTCTCTCTCATCTATGTTTCTATCTCTCCCTCTCCCTTCATCTCTCTCTGAAATCAATAAAGAAACAATAAATAAAATAAAATTAAAGAGACTGCCAAATGCAATGTATGACCCTTGACTAGACCCTAGATTAGAAAAAAAGTTATAAAAGACATTTTTGGGATGGGGGAGTTTAGATAGAGACTGTATCTTAGGTGATATAAATTTATTGTCAGATTTCTTAGCTGTGATAATGATGTTGTGATCATGTAGGAGAATGTCCTTATTCTCAGGTGTCTGCACCTCACTTCAGATGGTTCAGCTAGTAAAATGGAAGGGAGGGAAGAAGGGAGGGCGGAGAGACAGGAAAGAAAAAGGAAATGTGGCAAAGTGTCACCAACTAATAAAGATTTGAGGGTATATGGATATGCATTATATAGTTTTCAACTTCTTGGTAGATTCAAAAGCTGTAAAATAAAAATTGGTGGGGGTATACAAAAATTAAAATAAAATAGGGATGCTTAGACTCTGCCTTAGACCTGTGGAATCAGAATCCACAATGGTGGGGTCAGGGATTTTATTTTTATTTTTTTAAATGTCCATTCAACTCCTTTGCTCATTTATTATTATTATTATTTAATCCTCACTCAAGGATATTTTTCTGCTGATTTTTTAAGATTGAGTGGGAGGGAGGGAGGGAAGGAGAGAGGCAGAGAGAGAGAGAAAGAAAGAAAAATATCAATGTGAGAGAGACACATCGATTGGTTGCCTCCTGCACAATCCTGACTGGGACCATGGTTTGAACCTTGACTGGCAATCAAACCCTTGACTCTCAGTGCACAAGTCAACACTCTGCTGAGCCAAACCGGCCAGGAAGGAAATTTACTTTTTAAAAGTACTCAATGTAGCCCTGGCCAGTTTGGTTCAGCGGTTAGAGCATCAGCCTGCGAACCAGAAAGTCCCAGGTTTGGTTCCCGCTAAGGGCATGTAGCTCAGTTCCAGTTTGTCCCCGGCCCTGGTTGAGGTCGTGTGGGTGGCATCCAGTCGATGTGTCTCTCACATGGATGTTTCTCTCTCTCTCTTCCTCCCTCCCCCCCTTCCGCTCTATCTGAAGATAAATGCAAAAAAGTCCTCAGGGGAGAATTTTAAAAAATAGTAAAAGTACTCAAAGTAAATGCCAAATGTTCAACAGATGAACAGATAAACAAAATGTGATATACATACAATGGAATATTATTCAGCTATAAAAAGGAACAAACTTCTAGTACACATGGATGAACCTTAAAAACATTATGCTAAGTGAAATAGGCCAGCAAAAAGGATAAAGGTTGGATCATTCCACTTACATGTAGTGCATGAGAGGGGCAAGTGTATAGACACAGAAAGCAGGTAGAGGTTACCTGGGCTGGGCGGATGAGGAATGGGGAGTCATTGTTTAATGGGTACGGAGTTTCTGTTTGGAGTGATGAAAAAGTTTTGGAAATGGTAGTGATTGTTGCACAACACTGTGAATGTAATTAATGCCAATCAAGTATACACTTAAAATGGTTAAAATGGCAAATTTTATGTTACATATATTTTACCACAAATTTAAAAAATTTAATGTAATATATTGGATACCATTGAGTTGTACACCTTAAATGGGGGTATATTGCATAGTACTGAATTATATCTTTTTATTTATTTATCTTCAGATAGAGTGGGGGAGAGAGAGAGAGAAGCGTTGATGTGAGAGAGACACATCGACTGGCTGCCTCCCCCACAACCCCAACCAGGGCCGGGGATGAACCGCAACCGAGGTACGTGCCCTTGGCTGGAATCGAACCTGAGACTCATTGGTCCGTGAGCAGACGCTCTAACCACTGAGCAAAACTGGCCAGGGCTTGAATTATATCTTCATAAAGCTGTTCAAAAAAAATCTGCTCACAAAATGTCAAAATGCATACCTTTTTAAGTGAAAGATCATTATTTTTGGTGCTTTGGAAATACTGGCCCTCACAGCTGCTTCTTGCTTAGTTTCACAAAAGGAACAGTGAATCTGGTTGTTCCAGGTCAGTGTGTCTTGTTGGAAGAAACACTGGAGACAGTCCTGTCGAGGTAAAAAGCTTTGGTGACCAAACGGGATGGACTGCAGCGCGGACTCTGTTTACCTCAGAGCCTCGGAAGAGCCCTGCAAAGGCGACCCCGGCGCCTCTCTCGGTGCCAACAGGCCCCGAGGGGCCAGCGGCACAGGCTGCAGCCTGGAGAGGGGCAAGCTCCACCTGGCTCGGAGGGCTTCTCACTCTGGCCGCTGAAGTGGGTCCAAGTGCCCATCTCACTTCAAATCTCTCTTTTTTTTTTATTCTCACCCGAGGACATTTTTCCATTTTTTGTGCCACCCGCACGACCAACCAGGGCCGGGGAAAAACCGCAACCGAGGTACGTGCCCTTAGCGGGAACCGAACCCAGGTCTCTCTGGACTGCAGGCCAACGCTCCAACCACTGAGCCAAACCGGCCAGGGCTCCCTTTGAATCTCTTAATCAGCATGTTCACGTCAGAATAATACTGACTGTGGAGTTTCCACCAGCCAGTCAGGCCGCTGTTTTTTACATTATTCATCTCATCACTGAAGTGACCTGCTGATTGAACAACCACCCTAGCTCAGCGTTTGAGGTAGCCCACAACACCGCCATCGGGACAGAGAGAACGAGGTCCCACGGCCACAGAAGACATCCTCAGTGCAGCCCGGTGCCCCAGGTGCCCCAACCATCACCTAAAGAGGAAGAGGAGCGGAGCTTGTTTGCAGTGGACAGTCCGCAGCTCGTTTCCAGCAGTCTTCAGCAGTTTGGTCTGAGAACACGTCCAGGTCTCTGTAAGCAGCAGGATTCCACTGCCCAGTCCCGGGAAATGTGTATCATTTCGGAAGGAAACGTGTTGCTCCCTGCCTCCTAACTGCCCTGTCTTCTACCATCCCCCTGTTGACACATTCACTTCTGGTATTATGGTGAAGAAAAATCAAGAGGTAAACTAAGGCACCAGATTCCATTCTATTTTCCCAACACATTTCACAGCTTTTGTCTAAATATAAGAGCTCAGGACTGAGTCAGAATCTTTTTTTTTTTTTTTATCCTCACCTGAGGACATTTTTCCATTTCTTGTTCAGATAGAGTGGGAGGGAGAGAGAGAGAAAGAGACATCAACGAGAAAGGGACACATCGAGTGGTTGCCACCCACAGGACCCAACCAGGGCCGGGGACAAACCACAACCGAGGTACGCGCCCTTAGCGGGAACTGAACCCGGGTCTCTCTGAACCACAGGCCGATGCTCCAACCCCTGAGCCAAACCGGCCAGGGCCTGAGTCGGAATCTTTTATATCTAGTTCCCAAAATGGACCTGCAGACCTCTGAGGTAACACTGGGCCATAACATTTTTGCAGGAAAAGTAAAAATTCCCTATAAGCACCAAGCCATGACAATAGACCAAATAAACCCCATTTATCTTTTCAATTTTACAACAAGGCTGCTTTATTGAGTACACAGAAATACAACTGAATTCACAGTAACCTTTGGCTGTCTGTTGCTTTTCTGTAGAATGTCGTCATGGCTTCCAGTTTTTTCAAAGTTATAAAGCAATCCCTTTCACACGAGAAAATACAGGAAACAGCCCTAAGACAATCTAGGGCTGCGACAAAAAAGTACGCAGGAGCCCCAGGCCGGTTTGGCTCAGCAGTTAGAGCATTGGCCCACAGACCACAGGGCCTCAGGTTCGATTCCTGGTCAAGGGCACGTACCTGGGTTGCAGGTTTGATCCCCGGACCTGGTCAGGGCTGTGTCTCTCTCACATCGATGTCTCTCTCTCTCCCTCCCTCCTGTCCTATCTAAAAGTTAAACAACAAGTACACGAGCGTCAGACCCCTACCTGCAGAGAGCACTTGTACTGCGATGGAATGGGGATGGACAGGACTGTGAAGACTTCGTTCCTGTAGGTGCAGTTCTCGCACTTTAAACACATGATGCTGTAGTTGAGCTGCCCTTCGAACAGCCGGGTGACGATGGAGGACTCGCTGGCGATCGCCTTCCTGCAGCACCTTGGAATAGACTCTTTTTCGCATGACCTTCTTCGGTGGTACTAGATCAAGACACAAGTTTGCCCCAAATCAACGACTGGTTATCAAAAACGTTTTAATAGGATGACTTGATTTTTTTCTGTCAGAATGACACATTGCTGCTGGAAACCATGTTGTGGATTCAGAAAGTAAGTAGAGTACAAACTTCTTTTTTTGCTTTTCTTTTTTTAAATTGTTTTGTTTTGTTTTTAGAGAGAGAGGAAGGGAGAGAGAGATAGAAACATCAATGTGAGCCCTGGCCAGTTTGGCTCGGCGGTTAGAGCGTCAGCCTGCGGTCCAGAGAGACCAGGGTTCAGTTCCCGCTAAGGGCATGTACCTTGGTTGCAGTTTGTCCCCAGCCCTGGTTGGTCGTGCGGGTGGCGGCCACTCAATGTGTCCCTTTCATGTTGATGTTTCTCTCTCTCTCTCCCTCCCACTCAGTCTGAACAAAAAATGGAAAAATGTCCTTGGGTGAGGATGAAAATAAATAAATAAATACATACATACATAAATAAAGATAACCTGAGGCATATTAAAAAAAAAATTAAAAAAAAAAAGAAAAAGAAAAAGAAACATCAATGTGAGAAAGAAACACTGATTGGCCGCCTCCTGGGGATGGAGCCGGCAACCTGGGCATGTGCTCTGACCAGGAATCAGACCTGGACCTCTCAGTCCATGAGACAATGCTCAATCCACTGAGCCGCACCGGCTGGGCTAAGTCTTCTTAACCACATATATTATGTGTGAAAAATTTTTTTAATTTATTGATTCTAGAGAGAGAGGAGGGGAGTTAGAGAGAGAGAGGAGGGGAGGCGGGAAGAGAGGGGAGGGGAGAGGAGGAGAGAGGAGAGAAAAATATCAATTTGTTGTTCCACTTATTTATGCATTCATTGGTTGTTTCTTGCATGTGCCTTGACCTGGGATGGAACCCGAAACCCTGGCCCATCAGGACGACACTCCAACCACCCGGCCAGAGCATGTGTGACTTGTGATAATTCAGTTGTTTCCCTCCGTACGTGAAGCTGAGGAATGACGATACCGAACATGGTAAAACACGTGACCATGGCTCCATACGCTGGCAGCCTAATGGTCACGTGAGGCAGGTTGCCAGAGGCAGTCGTTCCTGGGAAGAATTACTAGGTAAACTGTCAAACCGGCTTTCAGTGACGCAAGCCCAGCTAGAGGTAAAATCGCCAAATTTGATCTCTCCACCAGTCCCTTTAGGTTATGTTCTCCAGCCACTTCCCCTTTTGTTAGAAAACACTTTATTTTTTCAATTACTTTTATTTTTAATTAAAACATTTGTTTTCAATGACAGTTTACATTCAATATTATTTTGTATAAGTTTCAGGGGTACAGCATAGTTGTTAGACACTCATACTTTACAAAGTGGTCCCCCTGATATTTCAAGTCCCCACGTGGCACCATGCATAGTTATTACAATATTATTGACTATATTTCCTATGCTGTGCTTTATATTCCCGTAACGATATTGTAACTACCAGTCTGCACTTCTAAATCCCTTCACCTCTTTCACCCATCCCCCAACTTCCCCGCCCCTTGGCAACCATCGGTCTGTTCTCTGTATCTACGTCTGTCTCTGTTTTGTTTGTCCATTTATTTTGCTCTTTAGATTCCACATATAAGTGAAATCACATGAATGGTAAGATTTCATTCTTTTTTATGACCGAGTAATATTCCATTATGTATATGTACTACAACTTTTTTATCCACTCATCTATTGATGGACACCTGGGCTGTTTCCATAGCTGGCTATTGTAAATAACACTGCAATGAACACAGGGTGAGGTTTCTTCAGAACTAAACCTAGAAGTGGGATTTCTGGGCCATAGGCAGTTCCATTTTTAATTTTTTGAGGAAAATCCATAGTTTCCATTATGACAGCACCAATCTGCATTCCCACCAACAGTGCACAAAGGTTCCCTTTTTTCCACATCCTCACCAACACTTGTTTATTGATTTATTGATGATTGCCATCTGACAAGTATGAACTGATATTGCATTGTGGTTTTAATTTGCATTTCTATGATAATTAGTGCCTCTAAGCATCTTTTCATATGTCCATTGGCCATCTGTAAGTCCTCTTTGGAGAAGTGTTTATTCAGAGAAAACACTTTCTAAAAAGAGCAAACCTTAAATCTCTCAGGCAGCCTAATTTAAATAGCCTTGAGCTTGACTTGAGCCCAGCTCATACTCAGGAGCATCATGACTGGGAGCCTGCCCTGACTTGTCAGGGACGGGACAGACTTGGAAGGCACCTTAGCTCCAGTCTGCTCTACTTCAGAGCTGTGCACACTTTGGCTACCTGCTCTCATCATACTAGCTGCTCAGGTCTTCCACCCTGACAGTAACTTAATGCCCCTAATTCCAAGTTTGGCCTTGGGAACCAGAATGTCATTTATTTTAGACTGGCTGACAGTGAGGACCCATGTGATTTTACCAACCACTACCCTCCCCTATGGCTAAAAAAAGGACAGCCATGAATTTCTTACTGGAATAAAAATGAAAAATTGATCTGAGGACTGCAGATGAGAATGATCAATGGCCATAGTGTGATCTTTTATGCTAAGTATTTCCTGGACATTGGCGATGAGGTAAGTTAACATCACAAGGACACTGCCTAAAGTCAAGGACATATCTTTGGGGATTGTGGGTCTCTGATCAAGGCTGAAGGCAGCAAGTCTTATAAATAAAGGCAAAACCTTTAGTAAGTAGCAATTTCGTGTTTTATTAAATGTATGTCCTAACTGAATGAAGAGCTCAGGTTAGACACGTTTGGTATGAAGATGAAACTTTGCAGTACACAGATCTGTCCTGTAATTCAATACTGAACTTAACAGTTTCTTGGATTTATAGTTACCAAGATTATTTAAGTTGTAAAGTTCTATATGTTATATGTCACGAGGAATAATATATTTTATAAAAAATAAGATTTTCACTTTTAAGAATAGTACACGCAGCTTAGCTGGTGTGGCTCAGTGTTTGAGTGTCATCCCATGCACCAAGAGGTCACCAGTTCGATTCCTGGTCAGGGCACGTGCCCAGGTTGTAGACCCTATCCCCAGTGGGGGGCATGCAGGAGGTGACCAGTCAATGTCCTTTCTCATCAATATTTCCATCTCTCTCTCCCTCTCCCTTCCTCTCTCTCTAAAATCAATAAAGAAAAAATTAAGAAAATAAGTAAATAATAATAAAAAATAGTACATGCAGCCCTGACCGGTTTGGCTCAGCAGTTAGAGCGTCGGCCTGCGATCCAGAGAGACCCGGGTTCGGTTCCCACTAAGGGCACATACCTCGGTTGCAGTTTGTCCCCGTCCCTGGTTGGGTTGTGTGGGTGGCAGCCACTCGATGTGTCCCTTTCGCGTCGATGTTTCTCTCTCTCTCTCCCCCTCTCTCTCTCCCTCTTTCTCTCTCTCCCTCCCACTCTAATCTGAACAAAAAATGGGGGGAAAATAGCACATGCAGATGTAATTTGCAAAGGAAACTAGATTAGTGGTTCCCACACCTTGTGATCACTGGAAATTCCAAGTGAGCTCTCCCAGAAGACATCCCCAGACACCCTAACTCAATATCACCCGGTGAGGGTCTTAGAATCTGGGTCATGAAAATCCTAGATGATTCTGACAATTGGCTGTGTTTGGTAAATACAGACGTATTCAAATTCCAAGGCAAACGTTCCCCCAGCGCCTAGCTTGGCACAGAGTAGGCCGTACTGACTGAACAAATGAAGGAATGAAGAGGAAAAGTTGCTGATGGAGCTGAAGGTCTGTCCTATTTGAAGGCCATTAATTCTACTTACCTTTTTCAGAGATTCATGGAGTTCATTCAGGACATAAATCAAGAATTCCTGAGCATCTTGTTGTGTCTTTTTCGTAAATGCTGGGTAGAGGGTGCCAAGAGCCGACCGAAATATTTCCGGTGAGACGCAGTCTGAGTCTCCAAGCCACATGTCTGTCATCACGTAGGCAAAGGCGGTGGCCACCTTGCTGCAGTCCCTGGGGGAGGGAGGGGGACGCCTCAGCCGCGGTCCTGAAGGCAGGGACCTAACCGCGCGAGCACGTGGCCAGCAGACCAAAAACGAAGCTTCATTCATTTCTTGGTTGACTTTCCCACTTGACTCACCCCAGAAATGGTATCTGGAGCGCTGCAGCCTCTACGGACTTGTTTGGCCCTTAACAGGGATTCCAGAAGGTTCCTTCCCTAACCGTGCTCTGGGGGGCGGGGGGAGGGGCTGGCCTGCGGGAAAGGCAAATGGTCTTACTTTTGAAGAGCAGTGATGTACTTTCCGGAGAGAAAGTATTCCACCAGCGGGGAGATGCTGCAGAGACACTGTAAGATGGAATTCATGTAGCAGGTGTTGCCCAAGTTCCGCAGGCCAGTCACACCCTGGAAATGGGGCTGGTTCTCGGCAGCCTTGTTAGCTGGAAACGCGTCATAGTGATCTGAGCACTCGGCCCTGTAGGCGCCACATGGAAAGAAAGAGGCATTTTGAGGGAACAAAATATGTACAAATAAGTCTCTCTCAACCTCACGACACAAAGAAGAGTTCATTTTTAAAAAATTTTTTTATCTTCACCCAAGGATATATTTATTGATTTGAGAGAGAGAGAGAGAGAGAGAGAGAGAGAGAGAGAGAGAAACATCAATCGGTTGCCTCCTATACACCTCAACCAGGGACCAAACCTGAAACCTAGGTGTGCGCCCTGACTGGGATGATGCTCCAACCAACTGAGTCACGCAGCCAGGGCAAGAAGAGTTCTTAATAAAGCTTCTGTCAAATAAATTCCCTCACAAGGACAGACGTATTTGACTTGGAGTCTAAAATTGCATTACTTACTCCAGAACTCTGAACAGTGCCTGCAGCCAAATAAGCAGAGATAAAGTTTCTTCCTAAAACCAGTGCAAGAGGACAGGACATATCAACCTTTCAGAATCCTAGAATTGCTTGGCTAAAAATGCAAACTTTCTCTCTAAGTACCAGAGTATTTCCTTTTTGTTGGGCAAGTAATTTAATTATTATTAGTAGTAATAATAATAGATAGTAAATAATAGCAATAGCTATAATGAATGGAGCCTGGCACTAGGTTAAGTATTTTTTTTTTAATCTTTATTGTTGGATGTAAAATGTATTACAGATGTTCCACATTTTCCCCCTATTGACCCCCTCTCCTCCCCACTCCTGCCCCCCTCCCGCCTTTTCCCACACTATTGTCTGGGTCCATTGGTTATGCATATAAGTTCTTTGGTTTATTTCTCCCCCCCCCCAACCCCTTTCCCTTTGAGATTTGTCAGTCTAGCAATGAATTTGTATTTCTTAATCCCTTCACCTTTTTCACCCATTCCCCCAAACCCCCTCCCATCTGGCAACCAACAAAATGTTCTCTGTATCTATGAGAATGTTTCTGTTCTACCTGTTCATTTTGTTTGTAGATTCCATTGTTGATAGATATGCATTCATTGCCATTTTGTTTGTTCATATATTTTATCTTTTTCTTCAAAAAATACCCTTCATCATTTCATATAATAACGGTTTGGTGGTGATGAACTCCTCTAACTTTTTCTTGTCTGGGAAAGTTTTTATATGGCCATCAATTCTAAATGACAGCTTTGCAGGATAGAGCAATCTTGGTTGTAGATTCTTGCTTTTAATCATGCTGAATATTTCTTTCCACTCCCTTCTGGCCTGCAAAGTTTCTTTTGAGAAATCAGCTGACAGCCTTATGGGAACTCCCTTGTAGGTAACTAGCTGCCTTTCTCTTGCTGCTTTTAAGATTCTCTCTTTGTCTTGGACCTTTTGCATTTTGATGATGATGTGTCTTAGTGTGTGCCTCTTGGGGTTCATCTTATTTGGGACTCTCTGTGCTTCCTGGACTTGTATGTCTGTTTCCTTCACCAAGTTAGGAAAGTTTTCTGCCATTATTGTTTCAAACAGGTTTTTAATTTCTTGTTCTCTCTCTTCTCCTTCTGGCACCCCCAAGATGCGAATGTTGGCACGCTTGAAGTTGTCCCAGACGCTCCTTACACTATCCTCATTTCTTTGGATTCTTTTTTCTTTTTGTTGTTCTGATTGGGCATTTTTTGCTTCCTTATATTCCAAATCGATGGTTTGCTCCTTGGATTTACATACTCTATTATTGAAGCTGTGTAAATTATTCTTTATTTCAGTTAATGCCTCCTTCAATTCTAACTGTGCATCCATGATTTCTAACTGGTCCTTTTTTATGCTCTTGAGGCCCTCCCTAAGCTCACTGAGGTTCTCACTAAGTTCATTGAGCATCCTTATAAGCAGCATTTTGAACTCAGTATCTGTTAGGTTGCTTATCTCCATTTCGCTTAGTTCTTTTATTGGGGTTTTGTTCTGTTCTTTCATTTGGGACCTGTTTCTTTGTCTTCTCATTTGGCTGCCTCCCTGTGTTTGTTTCAGTGTATTACTTAACGACAGGTAAGGGGCTCGCTGAGACCAGATGCTGCTCCTTTGAAAGAATTTAGGAAAAATCTGAAGCAGGATCCAAGACAGGCCAATCCTATGGTTAAGCAAATGGCAACAGCTTGGGTGAGCTTGAAAGTTGGGTGGGGCGGGGCGGGGCCTCAGGGAGTCAGCAGGGCGGGGCTACCAGTGTGAGCCAGGTGACTGTCTGCCGCCCCCGGGAAGGGCTCACCAAAGGAACAAAGGCCCCTGACAGCACGTTTGTCCCCGGAGAAAGCCCCCTCTCCAGCCCTCACTCCAGTGCCAAACAGCTCAGTCCTTCCCTGTATGTCTCTGGTGCCCCTCGAGCTGCCTCCCCTCCAAGCTTAGAGAGAGAGAGTCCGATAAGTCCGTGCGCGGGCCCTTTAGGGAGCTGCCTGGGTCTCCAGCCACCTCAGCCTCCCTGAGCCTCAGTTCCCGCTGGTTTTTCCAGCCAGAAGTTATGGGGATTCTCTTCCTGGCACTGGAACCCTGAGCGGGGCACCTGGTGTGGGACGGGGACCCCTCAGTCCTCAGGAAGGACCTGCCCAGCTGAGGTGTCCTCCTGATTTTTATGGGCCACATGTGGGTGTGGGACCAGCCCCTCCGCCGCCGCCCCTCCTACCAGTCTGGATGTGGCTGCTGCTTTAATCCCGTAGTTGTAGGGCTTCCATTCAACTTGATTTCAGGCGGTTTTGAATGATGGTTGTTCTGTAGTTTAGTTGTAACTTTGATGTGGTTGTGGGAGGACGCGATACCGCGTTTACCTACCCGCCATCTTGACCGGAAGTCCTAGGTTAAGTATTTAACATGTATTTTTCCATTTAATTCTTTAAAAAATTCTATGGGGTAGGTACACTTGTTTTTATTTATTTATTTATTTGCATCACCTTGTAGATCTGTCACCTTTATTTTCATATCGTAAGATCCTGTTAGTAAGTAGTGAGCTCCCGCAGAGAATCGGACAGAGCGAACATCACTGGAATGAGGGTGATAACTTTGTACCGTCCCTTCTTCCTCTTATGTTGTACAACGTGCAGCTAGAATCTTCTTGTCCTGTGGCTACGAGACGGCCACTGGGATCCACAGCTATGGATGCCACTGCACTGCCGGACTCTCTCCCTCTAAGCTCGGAGGGGAGGCAGCTCGAGGGGCGCCAGAGACACACGGGGAAGAACTGAGCTGTTTGGCACTGGAGCGAGGGCTGGAGAGGGGGCTCTCTCGGGGACAAACATGCTGTCAGAGGCCCTCGCTCCCCTGGTGAGCCCTTCCCTGAGGCAGCAGACAGGCGCCACATCTGGGACTCCAGCAACCTGGCTCATCCTGTTTTCGGTACACTTGTTTTTTTTTTTATCCTCACCCGAGGACACTTTCCCATTTTTTGTTCAGGTAGAATGGGAGGGAGAGAGAGAAACATCGACTTGAAAGGGACACATCGAGTGGCTCCCACCCGCACGACTGACCAGGGCCGGGGACAAACTGCAACCGAGGTACGTGCCCTTAGCGGGAACCGAAACCGGGTGTCTCAGGACCGCAGGTCGACGCTCTAACCGCTGAGCCAAACCGGCCAGGGCTCGGTACACTTGTTTTTAAATCTTGTGCTATAGACGAGGTACCATGCTTTTTTTTTTATATCCTCACCCGAGAACATTTGTTCATTTTTTCATTTTTTGTTCAGACAGAGTGGGAGGGAGAGAGAGGGAGGGAGAGGGAGAGAGAGAGAGAGAGAAAAACATCGATGTGAAAGGGACATGTCAAGTGGCTGCCACCCGCACAACCGAACCAGGGCCGGAGACAAACTGCAACCAAGGTACGTGCCCTTAGCAGGAACCGAACCCAGGTCTCTCTGGACCACAGGCCCATGCCCCAACTGCTGAGCCAAACAGGCCAGGGTGAGGTACCATGTTCAAGTGGTTTAGTCATTTGCCCATGGCAATATATATTATTATTATTATTATTATTATTTTTATTATTAGTTTTTTAAATCCTCACCGGAGGATGTTTTTCCTATTTGTCATCAGATAGAGTGGGAGGAAGTGGGGGAGAGAGACAGAGAGAGAGAAACATCAACATGAGATAGACACATCGACTGGTTGCCTCCCGCACAACCAACCAGGGCCGGGGACAAACCACAACTGAGGTACATGCCCTTGACCAGAATCAAACTCAAGACTCATTGGTCTGCGGGCTGACACTCAACTGCTAAGCCAAACGGGCAAGGGCTGCCATGGCAATGTATTAAGGGATGTGCAGTGCTGTGTAGAGAGAAGGAATATCTACCTACCTACCTACCTACCATCTGTCAAGAGTTATTTGGATTTATATATCATATATGGAGAGTGGGTGTGTGTACACACATACATATATATGACAAATATACATAGTCAGAGTATATTATAGACATATATATGAATTATATATGTGCACTTACATATGTGTATGTACATGTATAAACATACACACGTATACACAGAGGGGAAGAGAGTAAGTGTATTGATTTGGTGAAAACAGAGCTTGGTTTACACCCTCATCTGCCACTGTCCAGTCTCATGATCTGGGACTCTGCTGCCCATCTCTCACCTGGAACACCCACAGGTTCCTTGTGAGGATGATTAAATGACGCAGGCATGGGGCACAAATTACATACTTAGTAAGTGGTAACCTAAGATACTTTTTTTTTAAATCCTCACCTGAGGATATTTTTCCATTTATCTTTAGATAGAGTGGGAGGGAGGGAGAGAAACATTGACGTGAGAGAAACACATCGATTGGCTGCCTCCTGCACCACCCTGACCAGGGCTGGGGACGAACCACAACTGAGGGATGTGCCCTTGACTGGACCCGAACCCAAGACTCTTTGGGCCAACGCTCTAATCCGCTCTAATCGCTGAGCCAAACCAGCCAGGGCTAACTTAAGATACTTTTAAAATTTTTATCCTCACCGGAGGACATTTTTGCATTTATCTTCAGATAGAGCGGGAGGGAGGGGGGGAAGAGAGAGAGAGAGAAAT